TGATACCAGATGCAAACAATCTCAGATGAAACATACCTTGCCCAGTAGTCAGCACTTCGGTGTTGACATGAATATCAGTTATATGGTCATTTAAAAAAAATTCCTGTTACAAACCATTACATTTTTCGAAAAACTAAGGATTTTCTTATCTCAGGAATAGATTACCTTAGCCGTATTTTGCACAACGTTTTGGAATTTTGGGTCCTCAATGCTCTTCAACTTTGTACTTGTTTGGCTTTATAACTATTTTGATCTGAGCGTCACTTATGAGTCTTATGTAGACGAAACGCGCGTCTGGCGTATTAAATTATAATCCTGGTACCTTTGATAACTAATTATCTCAATTTTGACTATTTTAGACGTTATGCGATCCGTCTTATGTTCGTCAGCAACTATTATTTGGGCTTCAATACGAAAACGTTTTTCTTTGTAATTGTACATTCATCTTTCCTCCATATTTCGCATCAATATCTTTCTTTGCTGTGTATCGCACTATAGACAGACTTTGAAGTTTGTAGTTTACAGGAACGACGCATGATGACAGTTCTGTTTAATTTTTTCAGTATGATTTTTGATTTACTGTTTGAGTTATACAATGTATAAATGAATATGAAAAGAAAAGCAATATGATAAGCAGGCAAAGCGATCGCTTAAGTGCCACAATTGAAGCAAGATCTGCTTACCCTTCCAGAGCACCTATTACTCCCCGTTTTTGGTAGGTTTCGTGTTACTCAGTCTTTTGGTAGTTTTTTGTTTCTTTTTTTGCAATGAACTTGTCAGTTTGTTTTCGATTAATGAGTTTGAATATCCCTTTAGTATCTTTTGCCTCTCTTTTAAGAAATACCAATTATTACAGATCAGTAATGCATATGCTATTGTATTTGCAGTAATTGTATATTGTGTCGTTCTTACCCTTTTAATTCTATATGGGATAATAGGATTGAACGTATTTAACCTTACCAGAAGCAATAACCGATCCATTTACATAAAGCTGCTGATACAGTAGAGCAGTTGGCTGATGAAGACACTATTAGAATAGTTAAGGTAAACACAACATCGAATAACCAAATGACTTGTATTGGAAAAAAGCAAAAATAAGAAGACGAAATGTTTGATGAAACCATTGTTTTTTTTTCAAAATAGATAAGCAACATGAAATTAAGAGCCAAGCATTCGATCGGGAGTCGTCTGCAGATTTATATTATAACACTTTTGGCAGACTCTTTTTAAAAATTTTGGCTCGTCTATATGTTTCTGAGTTTAGTGTGACGTCCATTTTCACCGAACTAGTATACATTATTGTTTAGGGGATAGCTGAAGCCCGTCCTCGTGTGCGGGATTTTTGTTCGCTGTGTTGAGGACCCATTGGTGGCCTTGGGCTGTTTTCTGCTCTTTGGTCGGGTTATTGTTTCTTCGACACATTCCCCGTTTCTGTTCTCATTTTTTTTTACTTGAACAGAAAGTCCTATTGTTTAATGGCCAATTATCATCAACAGTATCGTAAATTCCTTTATATATGTCTTCTTGAATACAGAGGTTTATGAAGCTTTTTAGCACATTTTCAAAAAATGATGAGCACATTCACATTTGAATATAGGAGCAGCAGGCTGATATCCATAAAAGATGATTATTCACTTACTTAACATTGTTAACAAGGACAGGCAACAAATGTTTTGATGTGTTGATGTAAATCGAGAAAGACAATGCAAATATTTGAATTTGGTTTTTCAAAATTAGTACGAATCTGGTTGATAAACACATAAAAAATTGAAAAATAGCCTTACAGAATCGATACCAAGATACATTGTTCGTTTCGTTTGTTGTAAGCTGTCTGATAGACATAAACTTACACATAAATCAATGGCATTCATTTAAAGAGAATTCTAGTTTTTAATCATTTTATTTTCAGTTTTCAGAAAATTATTGGTTTTATATTTTACACATTACAATTAGGTCCCCGACAAGTTAAAAGGGAAGAAATACCAAATTCATTAGCCAAGGTCAACTGTCAAAGTCATGGAATATAAAACGAAAGACAACGAAGACAAACATGAAAACTAGTCTGAGTAACAGAAACCCCGTCAAAAACTGGGGATGATCTCAGGAGATCTGGAAGAGTAAGCAGTTCATTCACTAGTAACACCTGTCTAGTGTTACTCATGCTAAGTACAAATTCGGTGACAAGTCTTATATATGCGATGATTTCATAATCGGGAACAGAGGACAGGGTTGTGCTACGACAGTTGTAACATATCCGTGGTCATCTGTGACTTATGAAGCCAATAATGGTCAAGCAACTCGTCATGCATGACATCCGTAAAACTTTCGAATGGGGTAACCTCAACTTTACCACTTGGAACCCTTGGTTCAATAGTTCTCAACTGGTTTATCAAATTTCAAAAGTTTAAAATCATGAATAGAACCCAAAAATTTCTACACATTGATTGTAGTATGGTTTGTAAAAATATTATACAACCAAGAAGAATATAATTATTCAAGAAAAATAAAAGCTATTGTTTTGATATGAAAGACGGAAAATGAGGCTGGTTTTACAAATGGAGTAAACATATGTTAATTTTCCATTTTCTTATCAAAGCTGTTATTGCATTGATAGTCATGCGATTGGGGAAACCCCCGAAACGATGACACATATATAGCTTACTTACAATTTATGTCAAGTCATGTTAAAGACAACATCAACTTCGAATATACGAACTAAGAGAAAAATCCCTGTCAATTTCAGTCAGTCTACAGCACAACTTTGCAAAATTGTCAAATAAAATCCTTAACATGGCGAGAAATTGTTACACTTCTAGTTTGTTTGAATCTGCAATAGTGTTTAAATGCATATGTTTACTATATTTTATTTTGATCTGTATTGTCACCTCTCATTACCGTTTAATAGTCTGCACGGTTATTTGTGTAAATAAAGAAATGACCTATACATTTTCCGTGAATATCAAATGATTCAAATTCCACACTTCTGTTTCAACATCTTGACAACGAACCAACTTAAAAGCTGCAACTCTCCAACACAAGAGACTCTCAATATGCATTGGTTTGATTTTGTTAACCAACAGCAAATTGAACCCACGACCATAATCGAATCTTGCATTCTTGCAGGTATTTTTAATTTGATAAAAATGCATTTCTTTTACATTTGCAATCAACTATATGTATATACTGTTTTATCCAATACCTCGGTACTGGCCTGCACTTTCAGATATTAATTTATTGAAATTAGTTGTTATTAGATTTCTGAAATCATTTTTTTTTAAATTATGAAATGTATTTCTCTATACATATCTTTGATTCGTGTCCATGTTGGGCTATACTTTTGGTCCTTTTTGGTTATTAGCTCTTCAACGTTTGTATTAGGTTTTGGATTTAAAATATAACCATTTTGGCCTCCATCATCACTAAAAATGTGAAAAGACATTAATTGTCAAAATACGCGTAGTAGCAATACAATTGCTTCTCTCGCTCTCGCTCCATATGGAATTTACTGACCCCGTATATATCGTATTAGGTCACTAGCATACGGTGTAGTTAATAATATTTGAATGTTAAAATGTATTTTAATAAGTCGATGTTTCATTATTTTGCTCAGTTCAGAATTTAGTAATATTATCAGAGTTTTGGTAATTTCTGCTGAATTCATTTGCAAACTGGTCTAGACTCGCGGCAATTTAGAATTTAATATGCGATCTGATCACAAGTCTATGTGATGAAAGACCGCATTTTGTTTTGCTAAAGCTTGTCTTTTGTTTTTGGTTTCGGTCTTATTGACGTTTCAGACGGCCACTTTAAGAATGTGTTAAGGTTAAAACAAGACTTGATTTGGTATCATATCTAATAACATTCATACATCAATTTAATTAAATGGAGGAGTACTATTATTGTCCACCTGACAAGTAAAAAGGTTCTGACTGTGTTTGCTAGGAAATGTTTTATTCTTTTCGGAACACGATTTATACAAGTAACTACTCAGAACTATGCAGCCATGTGACTTAAAAATACTTAATTTATAACATACAGTTATCAGATTTTACAATTTGTTGATATTCTGTTTACGATATTTGAATGTTTTACTTTACCGCGATGAAATCGTAAACATTCAATGACGTCATTTTTTCTTATGAAAAATACAAAAATGTAAGTATGAACAAATTTGATAAACATGATGTCAAAACCATTAACCGGGAAAATATTTTTTGAAACTTTTACAGGCAAATATTATGGAATGAAACACCAAATACATGTACACAACAAAAAACACACTAGCCTTCGATATAAAACCGTTTTTTCTCGGAAGTAGCATATAATAAGAAAATTTTGACAGAATATTTTTTATTGCAATCTGACCTGAACACCTCCGGGGGGTAAACTCAGTGACTCATTTCACAAAAACTCTTACGAGAAAAAATACTCGTAAGTCCGGAATATTTCAGTATAACTTGCGATAAATTTTTGTCGTAAGATGTTTTGTGAAAAGAGCCCCAATAGCAATACCCGTTACATATTCCTATATAAAATAGTCTGTGATAAGGTTTCATATCATGAATAGAGGATTGTTTGGTATCTCTTGTCGAAATTTAAGAACAATTCTGGAAATATTCAGATAGGATATATTACTTCAACAGTTTTGACTATGATATGACATTAATTAATTACGAGGAAGTTTCACGGTGTTTTTTTTACTCTATTGCTTAGTTTTTATATACTCTGTTCTATCTCTATTGTAGAAGCTTAACGTTACAAAAACGTATGGATAATATCTTTGGGTCAAGTAACAACGTCGTTGAAAAATCCCGGTTCGTCAGACTGACTACACATTTAAAGACTGAAGCTAACTCACAGTCAAGTATTTTGACAGTAAAAGGCGGGATACTATTTTTCCTTAATTTTGAGATCGATATCGATGGAGAAAGATTTAAGCAAAGTGCCACAGACGTAGGGGTAAACGATACATTATGGTATTAACAGCATGTAGTACTACATGTGGAGGAATACAAGACAATTTATTTTGAAATAATAAAATACGTAATGAGTATTTGAAAAATACTATTTTCATTAACATTGACGATTTCGAAAATAAAGTTAACGATTCTCCTTCTTCTTTTTTTTTTATCTATATCTGCATACCCCTACAAAATAAAAAAAATCTATATTTTGCAACGAAATATAGCATAGACCACAAAAACGCCAATCATGAATGAGTCGGTTTTGACTGAATATTATAATAATCTGAGTTCAATTTCTATATATTTCAAGTAATGAAAACCACAATTATTCTTAGTGTGTCTGTTCAAAACAAAAACACATAGCCATCTGGTTGTCATAATCTTATTATTATAGTGTTTGTATAGTATATATGATTGATTCAAATAAGTTCGTTGGTTGTCTGTGTACATTATCTGAAATGTAACATTGGTCTACCTCTATAAAAGAAAAGAAAACAAATACGGTCGGGTTGTAAGCATGACCTTGGACAGCTTATTGCAATATTGCAATATAATTGGTGGAAATAGATCGCATGAAGACCGTTGTTCGATTAAACGAAAATTAGTTTCTTAAATTTACGGTCAGTGGAATACGTACTTGTTATTCAGGCCATTTTGTTGAATAAATCCATGCACTATTTTAATAAGATTTCAAGATGTTGTTTTGGATATATTCACTACGAATCTTGTTTTCTTCTTCTTTAAAATAACTATAAATTCATGTCAATGTACAATCAATGCATCCGTCAAAGGTCCAAGAAATGCCTGTGTAGTATCTTGTTATTTTTTTGCGTTGACAATAACCTATGTTCTTGTGTGCTTTTAATTATATTCTCGTCGTTTCTGTGATGCTTTTGTTCGGCAAGCATTAGTATTAGCAAGAACAATACACTGATTAAATAAGCCACTCTATTTAAATTTAATGAGATTAAGTGTATGGACACTTTTTGAGGAAAATGAAACGGACAAATGCTGACGAAAAGTGTCTGAATTTGACCGTTTCTACCTACATTCAGGAACATGTTAAAATACGGAGATTTAAGATATATCGTTTTATAGAGGCTTTTGCATCTATTTGGTTTGATATACAAGAATATGTTTACGCTTAATTGTGTTTTTACTTACAAATACACATATTTCCAAGTTTATTACGTCATTTTAACTTTGTACCAGAGTGCCAAATTTTTATCACAACGAATCATAGTACAATCTACATTAAGAGACCACTAAACGGAGAGCAAAATCTTGGTCTCATCAGACAGGTTGTATTTCAATGCATGTTCTAAAATTAATGGTCTTATAACACAAGGTTTTGTTACTACAGGTGGTCACGTCAACAGGTTTGACTGTATATCATGACTGGCAATCATAAGATGTCTCACGTTTTTTTTCCGATTTGGTCTCGTCATATATATATATTGTTAAAGCAGAAAAGTGATGACAGCTTTCAGGTAAAAATCCAATCATCTAACTTCCAATCGTCCAAAATACTACAAAAAAAAACAACAAAAGAAACAGAATCTCTCACCTTTTTAACCGAATGGAACATACATTAACTTGTTCCAATAGAAACATGTTACAAAATTGCTAACCTTTTTCACCAAACGGTGGTTCAATACTCCCTGTTCCAACACAATCAAATCGTTTGCTACATGGACACCAACCAAGGAACACAACTGCATTAGCATTTTGATTGTTCACTGCACATTCTACAAAATATAACGTCCTTAAATGAAAATACGTAGATTTATTTTGGAAAGTTGTCTACCATGAGTCTCACTTTTGATTTTTTTTATATGAACTGAATATACCTATTGTTTAAAAATAATAATGTAAAGGGTGTATATTTTAAAGATAAACAAATGCTAAGTTTAGTTGCAACTTAGATAGTTTTAGCTGTATAATTGGTTCTAATATAAAAATAAGATGTGGTAGGGTTGCCAATGAAACAATTCTCTACAAGAGACCAAATGACGTAAAAGTTAACAAATATAGGTTACCTTACGGCCTTCAACAATGAGCAAAATTAATACCGCATAGTAATCTATAAAGGCCCCGAAATGACAAATGTAAAACAATTTAGACGAGAAAACTATGCAATTTCAAACTAATTTTAAGAGTTTGTCCTTATATTATGCCGTTCCAGTGTTCCAAGTTAGGGAGGGTCGAGTGCTCACACACATGTTTTTACCCTGTCCCAATCTTTTATATGCTGGTCCTAAAGTTGGTGCTATCCAGCATATTTGTTTTTCATTTATTTATTTGTCATAAATAAGGCCGTTGGTTTTCTGGTTTCAATTATTTCCTATCTTATCTCGTTTGGGCCTTTTTTGAAAAACAGACTAGACGGTAGGGTTTTTGCTTATTGTTAAGGTTAAGTGTGTCTATATGCTATATGTGCTTAATATTTTGTCTCTGGGACATCTCCTTATTCTATATTGAATACAAATTAATTAATAAAACCTTAGAAACGATTTCATCGTTTTAGAACAGTCCGAAGAGAGAGAGAGAGAGAGAGAGAGAGAGAGAGAGAGAGAGAGAGAGAATGAGAAAGAGTGCTTAATGTTTCATACATTTTATGTCTTTCAATAACTAGTTTTCAAAATTAAGCTTTTTTGTTGTTGTCGAATCGTTCTTTTTATCCTTTGAAACAATGACCAGTTCTTGCAAGCTGTTTGAAGGTAAACATAAGATCTAGAACTAAGTTTTTTTTTTTATAAAACTAACAATACTTAGTATTAAACTAGGAATGACATAAAGGAAGGAAACTGATTTTAAACATGCACTGTGACAAAGAAGCAACTACAATTATACATCATTAGTTTACAAAAGAACGTAAGAAACGTTGTCCATGTACCTGATTCCTTTTGGCCATATGGTTTACAAATCCCAGCAAAGCCCGTGGATCTTTTTTTCCGTCCTTTTACTTTGTCATTGGCACAGCATTGGTTAAATCCACATTCTTTTGAAGTATTGCATTCTATAGGCTGAAACGTTTTATTTTTTCATTAAACATAATTTAAAGGCAAACAACAAAATTTGGACGCTAGATATATATTGTATTCAAATAATCATTAAATTGAATTGTCATCTGATCAGAATCAAAATGTCGTTTAGGTGTCTGTACCACTATGAAATTTATGACAATACTATACAAGTATAGCCTTTGTATGAAGTCGATACGAGGTAATATTGACCAAAGGGAAGCATATTGACTGAGGACGAAGTCAGTGATCGATATGCTTCTCTAGGTCGATATAACATCGTATTGACCTCAACCAAAGGCTACAATTGATATATTATTAATCAACAACTATTGCATGAACAATGTAAATTGGTGATTTGTAGAATGTATTTTAGTAACATGCTAATATGCAGTTTTGACCTACGAAAAGCTGAACACAACAGTATTGGCATGCAAACTGAGCAAATACAAATGAACATGTGATCAAAATTTAACGAATCACAAAACCTTAAAAATATTCGATTAATTATGTAAAAAATAAAAGCAACAGTAGTATACCGCTGTTCGAAACTCATAAATCGATAGAGATAAAAACAAATCCGGGTTACAAACTAAAACTAAGGGAAACGCATCAAATATAAGAGGAGAACAACGACACAACAAAAACACAACATTAAAATGTAACACACAGAGAAACGAACTATAATGTAACAATGGCCATTTTCCTGACTTGGTACAGGACATTTTAAGAATAAAATGGTGGGTTGAACCTGGTTTTGTGGCATGCCAAACCTCCCGCTTTTATGGCAATGTTAAATATAACATTAATATGACAACATTACATGACATGACTACAATACAAATAAATGGGAGAACATATAGGACAAAGAAACACACGAATAATAGCTAACAAAAGGTACTAGGTTTAAAATTTAATACGTCAGACGTGCGTCTCGTCCACACAAGACTAACCAGTGACGCTAAGATGAAAAAAGTTTGAAAGCCAAAACAAGTACAAAGCTGAAGAGCACCGAGGACCAAAAAATATCTTAAATGTTTGACATCACTCAATATAGCAAACCAGTTACGTATTCAGTGATTGTTTCGTTTTGTATACTTTCCAAATAGTTTGTATAATGTTTTTGAGAAAATCAAAAGTATTATAATTAGTCAAATTAGTCATATTTGCTCTTGATATATTCTATAAACAATTGTTTTGAAGACTGTCCTCTAATTAAATGTATATTGGCTATTTTTATTGGGTTGCTGTCTCGTTGACGTAAAGTCCTTATCTCTCAGTCAGTGGTTTTCTATGTTGTGTTTTGTGTACTGTTCTTTGTCTGTTTGTCTTTTTCATTTTTAGCCATGGCGTTGTAAATTCATTTTCAACTTATGAATTTGAATGTGGCTTTGGTATCCTTGGCCTCTTTTCTCCATTCATTCATTCCTATATTTTTGGATTTTTCTGTTGTATTTTGGGAGATTTTAGACAAGACATGAAATATGGATTATTAAATTTGAATGGCATTTCTATTAGTCTTGATATCATAGGTCATCATTTTGGTTACTAATTCTGGTATTATAATTGAACATGATATCTGTTTTTTTTCGGTGGCAGTTAAAAAGTCTGTTTTTCAAAGGGCGACCTCATTTATTAATATATTGGAAAATTAATAATTAACATGGGTTTTTAATCAAATGTAATAATATTAAAATATCAGTACGTTTACCTTCTTTGTCACTGTTGCTTCGGCTGAAAAAAAATGTCATAGAATGTGAACTATCGATTTATTTAGCGCCGAAAGTATATGCACATATGACAAATTATAATGGATCTTGAGGCAAGAACATGTATATCTTATGGAAAAAAATGGGCTGTTATATTGGCCAGTGTTTTGAATTAAGGAGATCAGGTCTGAATAGTAATACTAGTAAATAATTGTATAACGAATGCAAATAATGTAATTTTATTATTTTATTGTGCATTCATAATTTATATGGTTGATGGATCTTATTCTGACCAGTGCTGATATACTAGATATACATGTACACTGTGATGTTTATTGTTGTGATTATCAATTATGTCAATCAATTGTAACTGATTTTAATTCGGGAAATTAAAAATTTTCTTTTCTATTCTATTCTATTCTATTTTATTTTTTCATGCCTTTTATGGGTCCTGTAATTCGAGAATTTAAAAATTTTCTATTCCATTCTAGTCTATAACATCAAAAAGCCAAAAAAATATAAACAACCGAAAAAAGTGAAGATTCACATGAACACATTCACACAAATTACACTAGTAGAGAATACTAAGTATTCTATAATTAATACTTAAAAAATAACACTGACAAATTGTGAATACCAAGGTGACGCCAACTCATAAGTCGATGAGAAACTGACAAAACAGTTACAAAAAAAAAAAGACACAATAGAAAGATGACGAAAAGACAAACAAAGTCCACAAGTTATATTAACACTATATTGAAAACTGAAGACTGAGCAACACGAAATATATCAATATTACTAAATTCCTAACAACCATGTCATGTTATACAAAAAATAATCATCATACAGCTCAAATTACCAGTTGAAATTAATGATATCAAAATATAAATTCTATTGTGACACGCTGCTGTCCCACGGACGTTACTTTGTTCCTGCGATTTGTACACATTTTTAAAGCAGATTGATTAATCTATATTGTATTAACAACACAATTGCTGTAGCAAAATAACAAGATACATTCTTATACTGTTAAATTTAAATCATTTTGTTAAATTCCATTTCTTAAGGTATTCTAAACAATGATTTACAAAATAAAATCAAGTAATGTGTATTACAAGAAATCATTTCTAAAGTAAACCTTTAATAATCAAAGACAAAATAGAAACTCTTAATTAACCTCGGCATATCTAATGGCATAAATGTTAACAAAGCGAAGTTATTTGTTATTAGTTGGAAGTGATTGTATGTCGTATATGTGCATTTGCGTATTAAGGACCCAACAATGTTCGTGACATCATTAACCCCAAGAAATATTTCGTAGTTTTGGGATATGCTTTATGTAGTGAGAAATGACATTTAACATGACACCATTCGTGCTTTTCAAAAAATACAAATGACATTGCTAGCTTGTCAGTTCAACTAACTAGGCCGATGATCAGTTAAATTCCCTCTAAAATATAAATGCTTAGTTTAGTTTGCAGATAAAAAGAAAAGAAAAATCCTTGGCAGTATGTTATATAATTGACGTCTGCAAATTCATCAATACCATTCTAAATTAAAATGCATGATATAATTAAAGAAATACATGTTTATAGACAAATCTGATCAATTCATTTAAAAACAATGTTCATTAAATTTCAAACTCACTTTTCCCTATTACTTCGAAAAGGGTAATTGTCACACAGAAACAACACACAAGTAGTCCAATACGCGCTTCCATCTTGACAAACCAGTATAAAATATCAGTAATGCAATTTTTAAGCTTTCTATTCATAAAGTAATTATTTATTCATTCTATATGAGAGATGTTGTTGTATAAGGATGTTTATGTTTATTTGTCATTTTTTTATCAAATCAAAATATAAAAAAACAACTGTAAACAGGATATGTTTTAATAACTTTTTAAATGTAATTTTTATTTTGGGGGAAATTACCTGTACGGTTATGTCAAATGTATATTTTTTCATTGTGCGATTTAGTAAAGTAAAATTGATGACGAGCTATCTATTCCAAAAACAGATGAAATTCAACACGGATTTTGGCTATTGAAAAGAGGTTTGCCTACGTGGCTGTTTTTAAATCTCATTCAATGGTTTTGAAAACTAGAGGAATTGTTCAGAAAAAGTGCTAAAATTCTCTTGACGGGTGATGAATTATGCATATCATGATACGCTTAACGTGTTGAAGAGTTAATGCGATTACCTAAGTTTTTTTGTGACCTGATCTGTCTTTCTAATCGATTTATGAGATTTGGGCGCTAAACAAGTACTGTAGTCTACGATATTATTTCTAGAGACGACAAAGTTATAGATAAATGAGTACGATTCATCATCATCATCATCATCATCATCATCATCATCATCATCATCATCATCATCATCATCATCATCATCATCATCATCATCATCATCATCATCATCATCATCATCATCATCATCATCATCATCATCATCATCATCATCATCATCATCATCATCATCATCATCATCATCATCATCATCATCATCATCATCATCATCATCATCATCATCATCATCATCATCATCATCATCATCATCATCATCATCATCATCATCATCATCGAGTTTAAAATGATATGCATATGAACCCTGCTTTGTTAAAGACAGAAACACTCAGCCGGACTTTTAACGTGCTTGAATTATCTCGATCACAAGGTAAACATCTGCAGTAAGCCATTTCACTATCCCCAAACACGCCATTTCGAAATTGGGTTGACCAGGACTTGTTCTTTCTTCTAAATACCACGTGCTTAGAGAGGAGCAGCAAATACTAATTGTTAAGTCTTTGGTTTAAACCGGCCGGCGATCGAACTCATAACATTACGCACTCAAAGCGAGCCAACCAAATGCAGTCATAGCTATAGGAAGCAAGTTAAGTTGCTGAGTGTGATGCAAAAACCAGTCCTTCTTACTCTTTACACTCGTGTGTCCTTATAGTTATAAAAACTTGTATTTTACTTTGTACTTCGTTCTTTCTTAAAATAAAAAAAAAAAAAATTTTGTTCCCAACATGCTTAACGAGTTTTGTTTTGAATACAAAAATACAATAAACACTTTTTGTGGACAGCATACATGTAAAAGGGTTTTAAAAATCAATATTCGAGAAAAGAGGAAAATGGGAGTAAACTGTGTGTTTTCTCTCAGTCAGCTTGCGATGAGGATCGGTCGAGAACAAACTTTACGAGATGATTTCAGCTTTCCAAATGTTAACATTCCTTTTTCTACGTACGGGAAGTGCTACATGTGGAGTAAATATCACTTAGTTGATACGATATTTTCAGAGTTTGCCTTTACGAGCACGATTTTCTTGATAGCGAATTGCTGCCTTTAATGAAGCTATTGAAACAAAGGTTCCAAATGGTAAGGTTGATGTCATCCCTTTAAAGGATTCTGGACACATTGATGAGTTGGTTGATTGTTAAGGAATATCTGTGTCACAAATAAAAACGAAAATTTTCCAATCGACGTAGTTTAAATCCCGTACGCTTTTCATAAAAAAAAGAATCAAGCCGACTGAGAGAAGACACACAGTCTACTCCTATCGAAATGCAGATTTGCTGTTCAAAACACAGGACCAAAAAATCTGTTTATCTGTTGATTGATGGATGTTCAACATATATTCAAATCAGACAGATATCTTATACGATTACTTGAAACTGGTACTTTGAAATACGTTGCTATGTACTGGAACGACTTATTCAGTCTTTTGCAATGTACTAGCTCAATGGGAAACAGTCCGTAGTAAGACAAGTTACCCTACCTTGACACATTTTCCCGACTCCTTGCTATCACATGTTTACTGGAGACGCATTAATAACCATTTAGGTCTTTGGTTTTGATAGATTTTAGGGTCGAAGTGAGACTTATAACTTACGAGGGCATGAACCTACAACAAGACATCGGAGGCAGTTCGTATGAAGTAGATATATACTATTTGGGAGAGAAAAATAAAATCCTTAAGATTGTTTAGGTTGGCATAATTTTTTTTATCATATTCTATTTTCCTTCTAATTCAAAACTCTGTAACGTTTACTCCATAGATTGCAGTAGGAACAATTGGCCTTTTGCAAATAACTGTCTTGAATGTTAACATGTTCATCATAAACCTTCCTTACTTTTCTATTCTAATAATATGAAAGTAAGGAGATGCTGTACGATTTTAAATGAGACAAATAATCACAAAAAGGTAAAAGAACAAGGATGTAAAAACTAAGATGTTTAGCCAAATAATTTTGAATTTTTAGAATGACCATAAATATTGCATTTAAACATTGTTAGAATGAATGTAAGGCCTAGGACAGGGAATACAACTAAACGGGTCGCTTATCAAAATAGAATAGGGCTATTGTGGCAGTTAATATATTATTTTTCTTCGTGCAAGAAGTCTGGAAGCCTTATTCAAATACGTAAGACAAAATTTAAACATATGAAAAAACGAAATACTGATTTCTAATAAACTAATGTCTTGTGAACTTGTGAATTACTAGTATGTTATTTGATAGATTAAAGGGGCATTAGCTACAAGATATAGAAAACAATGAAATCTGATTGTTTATGTTCAATCATTATTGAAAGTGAAATAGTGATATAATAATTTGGCTTTTAGCAGCCAGTTTGGTTCAGTTTTATCAAAATAAGCAATGAAAAATCGCTAATGAATTATTCACTTGCAAGTGAATAATTCGACCTCATTAAATCCGTATTCATGTGAACTTCAATTAAACCTCTAAGCTTTAGATGGTTTACGCATGAAATAAGCGTGTTCAGCTATAAAAAGAAAAGAATGTCAACATTGGAATGAAACAAGGGTAAACCATTTGGTTGACTGATTTGATCTACAAAAACTCGTTCTTATCCAGCTAAAATCGATTATTAACATATTTTTTAAACCTATAATATGAAATTAAACAGATCTAGAAAAATCCAATTGCACGAGTTCGATATCTATTTATACCTATGTTTATGTTTATATCGGGTTATATGACCGTCGGCAGTCTTCGGAGGT